GTTGCACCCCTGCTGCTGCTAAATCATCCCAGTCATTATACCGGGAGATTGGCACACACGGCCTTACCTATCTCTCCATGTGTAGATTGAGACATAGCACTGCCTCTTTGTTTAATGTCTGCATTGGTTTTTATACTTTACTAAAGAACCAAGCAGCCCAGAAAGGTCTTATAATTGCGATGAAGCAGATCATTTAAAATAGAATTTTAGGCTTAGCTATACTTTTAAATCTTCTAGCCTGAGATATCTTCTTCTGGTGACATCTAATGGGGTTGCTTTTTATCCTTGGCAATCCTCCCCACTCCCTTGCCCCACCCACCCCTCCACCTCTGTTCTGCCTCTTCCTCACCTACATTCTTTCTAAACCTTCAATAAAAGAAGTTTCATTTGTTACTTTTTACATATGGAGCACGACAGGGCTTTTTTCTAGATTTATTGTTCTGATAAATTCTATGCTTAGGAAAACCTTTATCCAGATTAAATTCCTGCTTTATATATTGGCCAGCAGTCATACCTGGAGTTCTCCTGTGTTGGGACCAGCTTTGGGGAGGTCACGACTGAAATTCATAACTTTGTGCTCTAGTATGGTATTATTAAAGTAGTATTTGAGGGGAAAAGATCAAATAATTAGAAAAAGTGCTGAATAGCGTCGTCTACACAAATCTCCCAAAGGGTTCACAATGCATATTAGCATATTAAAGGCAGTAGCAAATATTGCAGTGAGAAATCATGTTAGATTTAATGAATACAATGTTTTTCAAGCATTTAATTTTTTCTCTATGTAACAGTCCATATAATTAATTTTAAAAAACTGCCCTTCGACATCTGCTCTAATTTAGAACTTCTTTTTCCAGAGCATTTTATTGTGGTAAAAGATCACAGTGTAAATTAATTACCCATTCAACAGTTTGTGCACATTTTGTATCATGATTTCAGTTATAATTCCTGTGATAGAACAGCACTCTCCCCACTTTCCCTCTGTGTCCCCATTTCCATCCGTGCCTCTTGTTCAGAAAGCCCTTCATGCCTTCTCAACTTTGCTTGTGAACAAATGCTGCCCTTTGGTCTCAGGTGGCTGATTGTGCTGAGGACTATCTGTTCACTTTGTAGACTTTGTTGTTTGGCGGGAAGATGATCCACAGAGGGCCAGGCTTGAAGAATGTTTAACGACCATAGTCTTAGAGGTTCTGTGTTGTCTTTATCAGACCATTAGATATAGTCTTTTTTTTATGGTATTGAATTCCCCACTACATTTTTCTCCTAAAGCCTGTCCAGGACCTCTGTTGTGTTTCTCATTGGAGTGGTCTATAGTGGTAGCTGGGTACTACTGTAGTTTATATGGTTTAACAGTGCTTTGGACTGTGTTTCCTTGACTTTCATTTTCATCACTTATCTTTTCTCTAGACCAGAAGAGACGAATAGTTGCACCTTAGATGGTTGGTTGCAAGTTTTTCAGACCTCAGTCACTACTGACCAAGCAGAATATAGGACACCATCGTTTTAGACAATGCTATGCCAATTGACCTAGATATCCCACAAGACTGCAAGCCTAAGCTCCCAAGATCAGGGCTACAGTCCCTCAAGATTTTTATTATGGCTAAAATGTTTTTGTAACTTTGTCCCCTTATGCTTACTGCAGGGGTCCTCAAACTTTTTTAACAGGGTGCCAGTTCACTTTCCCTCAGACCGTTGGAGGGCTGGACTATAGTTTTAAAAAAACTATGAAGAAATTCCTATGCACACTGGACAAGTCGGCTGCGAAGCAGGACAGGCAGCAGTGGCAAAAGCACCCGGCGGGCCAGATAAATGTCCTCGGCGGGTGCATGTGGCCCATGGGCCACAGTTTGAGGACCCCTGCTCTACTGTATACATTGACCTATTTGTACAACATATAAATACATATGTAGAAATTTATTATAAAAGCATATGTAGACTTGGCCTCTGGCAAACTTACATATGCTCTTGGATGTACTTCCATATGCCATGCCACACCTGTTCATCTTACATCTCTATCCACTTAGAATCATGGCTTGTTATTACTGATATATGCAGGATTATGTATGCAATAGTACTAAGGGACTTCTACCATTTCATGGAAGAATTCCATGACCTTTTAATCTCATTTTTCCATGAATTTTGTGAAGCCGCCTTGTTTCTATAATGGTTTTTACTCTTATGTACAAGAAGCTTCCCAGTGCCTTCCTTTGCCTTGGTCATGCTGGGTTGACCTCCCCTTTCACTCAAATGAATGCATATCTAAGTTGGTGATTTTCCCTCCTTTGACCCTGGCAACCATCAGATACTGTTTCTTTCTGAGTATAAACCTTTTCTTGGTCTTTAAAATATAGTTGTTTCAAACAATAGCTGTCCTTTTGTAATTGCGTTATTTCACTCAGTGTAATATCCTTCAGTTTATGAGATATTTCACATAGTCATTGGAATTGTTAATATTTGTTGGTTTTTTATTATGTGTTTGTACCATAATTGGTTTATCCATAATCTCATTGATTAATATTTAGGTTGTGTCCATATCTTTACTTGTGACTAATGCTACAATAAACATGGATGTATATCTACTCAAGGCATGGCTCTTATAGATCCCTTTAGTATATATACTAGTTTAAAGCCGAATGGAAAGATAATGGAAATTTTCCACACCCCTTTTGAAGTTCTTCATACTTAGTAATGGCATTGTGGGGTCATGTGATATCTCTATTTCTAACTTTTTCAAAAGGTATCATATAGATTTTCACAGTGGCTATACCATTTTACAGTCCCCTCAAGAAACGTATGTGGTTTCCCCACACCATTAAATAGTAATTTTCTGGGTCTTTTTGTCATTGCTATTGTGCTGGGGCAGAGATGGTATTTCACTGTTGTTTTGATTTGCATTTCTCTAACATCTCTTTCTTTCCACATAAAGTTGATTCGTTTTTCTCTCTTGTTAAAAAATATAGAAAACCTA